TATCTTCACTGGTAGCACTATGAACTGTTTTCCTCTTCCCCTATGTTTCTCAATCCTGCCCTGTCCCTCAACAGTCAACTCAGATTCCCCTTCTTCATTTTGAAAACTAACTTAATCTGCAGCAATCTCACACCCCAAAGTCTTTTTCAGCACTTAATTATTTTAATTTCTATTTTTTCTATTTTTATGTCTTCTTCTAACTAGCTGTGCAAACTTGGACAAGTCACTGTACCTCTCTGGTCCTAGTTTCCTCATCTGTAAAATGAACATATTAGAGTAGAGACTATCAAAATTCTGTTTCACCACTGACACTAAGTGTCTAATACAGTGCCTGGCATATATACTGAGGTGAATGGCAGACAGTCCCTGCCCTCATGGAGCTTATAGTCTAAGGAGTGAGAGACTATAAAGAGTAAGTAAATATAAAATGACAACTTGTGGTATATGCCAGGATGGATTGAATGGAATAGATGCAATGGTGGAGAATAATGGGGGGATGTGCATTTAGATATCTACTTAAGTTGTAAGAGAGGTCCAGAGAATGAGAAGTAACTATCCATATGAATAAGAGGGGAAGAATGTTTCAGGTGGAGAGAACAGCAGATGCAGAGGCACTGAGGTAGAAAAGAACTTACTTAATGCTTGAGGAACAAACAGGAAGCCATTGCGGCTAGAGTAAAATGTATGAAGGAGAGGTATGGACTTAAGTATATTTACGAGGCAAAAGTAATCAGCCAGAAAATTGTTAGTAGTTACAGGTGGTTCTCAGTGTTTAAGGTTATCAGTCAAGGATTTGGTAGTGTGACATTTCATACCAGATTAGTTCAGATTCATGGTGGCATTAGAGATGGAAATTTCTAAAAACAAGTTATTTTCTTTCTCTTTTGCCTGTAGGAAATTGAAAGGGCCTAACTAACCCATTGCCCTAGTTCTGATGTTAAATGACACTAGCCTGCAATATCTGGCAGGTGGAGATTACTAAGAGGGATAATTATTGCCTTTGAAAACTTGCCTAACTGAGCTTTGTGCAACATATATTGGGAGTTCACCAGCAAAGTTTGTGTGTTGACACAGACAATGATACATGCAGAGACTTGTTGAAGTGAAGATTTAGTAGCTTGGTAGGACATGGAAACAACACAGCTCTCCCTTTTTACCAGAGGCTTTTATTTGCTAGGTAGCTCATAACTTAGTGCTCTCTCCTCTCCCTACTGACAAAGTTATTTGCTTTTAGTCCCTCCTATATTCTATGGTCCTTCTGATCTTCAAGTACAGAGTTGATCATGTCTTTCTCCACCCTCCTTTGCTTGGTGTATCAAGTTCAGAGTTCATATTCAAATCCAAAGCCTCAAATGACCTCCCACCTTTCCTTCTTTAAACCCCAGCCAAAGGATACACTCTAGTCATTTTGGATATCCTCAAGGCCTGACCCTATCTCTCTCAGTAAGCCTTCTCCCTCCATCCTGGGCTGGAGCTTTCTTGCTCTGGAGTAGTGGGAAAAGCCAAATGACCTTGGACTATACACCTGATGCTTCCAGGTGATCGCCAGGAACTTTTTCTATCCTAATATCTAGTGACCTTCTGCCTTTATTACTTTCTACTCAGAGTGTTCTTTTTTTGTCTTATGCACCATGCCTTCTCAGTGTGCTTTGAGACCCTAGGATCAGGAGCCTAGTCTGTAGATCTTGTTGCTCAAGTCCAGGGCTGGATACTCAACTGTGCTGCAGTAAAAGAGCATTAGATTTAGAGTTAGACTGATCTGGGTTAGAATGACAGCACTCTCACTTACCAACTTCGTGAACTTGGAAAGGATATTTACCTTTCTGAGCCTTACGTTTCTTATTTTTAGATTAATGCCTGGTTTTCTTCTGCGCCAAGAGGGTGGTGACAAGAAGAAAGTACAAAGAAAACTATTGGGAATTTTGGAACAAGCAATTGTTGTAGCCACCGTGGTTACTATTTTCTACATTCTGAATTTTAGAGCCAGTTGATAGAATTGTAATAAAGAAGGAAAAAACTTGCAGAAATGAGTCTAGGAGGAAACGTTCTGGAGAAATGTGCCTGAACTTTTAGAGAAAGATGATCCATCTGTTAGAAGGTTCCTTATAATTCAGTATGCTCTTGGTTTTCTAGGATTCATGTCTTTAATAAAGAGTATCTAACAGACACATGGTCTTAAGGTGTTCAGTGAAGGGATCTAACCTTCAAAAATCAGTCTAATTCAAAAAATAGTGAACTGTACCCAAAAGTAAATTTCCCTTTTGGACAGTAGTTTGCAATTATAAGTTTTTCCAGTCATCGAGTTGTGTGATTCATGATTTTAGTTCTTACCTCCTGCACCCTTTCCACTTCCCCATGCCTGTGTGAATTTGGGAAAACAGACATACAGAGATGGTTTGATATGGTCAGGTTCACACTTCAAGTCTTTGTTAAGAATTTTAGAGTCAGGCATCTGCAGTTCAAATCCCAGCTTTCCTGCACTCACTGCCTCACACGTGCAAGTTATTCTACCTTGCTGAGACCGTATCCTCAACTATAAATGAGAATTTTTATGACAGCCCAAGCATAATGTCTGCTTCATGATAGGCAGTCAGTGGCTATTGGTTTCCTTTCCCGAGTCCCACATTTCCATTGCAAGCATTGTTTTATTTACCTAGTCTGTCTTACTACAATATTCCAATGTTTGGGTACTATAACGAATAAGAAATGTATACAGAATATTTTTATTTTATAACACAAATTGTCTTATACTCAGAATTATCACAGAGCCTCAATAAAGAAAAATAACATCTAAATTGCTCACGTTCAGCAAGTCAGTTTGGTTTCTGGGGCAGTGTAGATATTCCAGTTATATATAAGTGTAATAGATAAGACTCAGCAATTTTCCAAGTTACAACAGCTTTTCACCTACTTCTTGGTCATGTTTTCATTTCTCAACCCCACCTGCATCCTAATAACACAGCTGTCATTACTTTGAGGTATCATTTCTGCTGGCACTGTAAGTGAAGGAGCAGAGTTTGCTGTAATAAATGACATCATCTGCCCTGGGGGAGATGATTGCCAATGAGTTCACTCCTTCCCTTCCTCTTACCGCCTCCCTCCCTCCCTCGTTCATTCCTCATTCACTCGTTCACTCCTGCCCTCCCTCATTCACTCCCTCCCTCCCTCATTCACTCCTTCCCTCCCTCATTCACTCCCTCCCTCGCTCATTCACTCCCTCCCTCGCTCATTCTCTCCCTCCCTCGCTCATTTTCTCCCTCCCTCGCTCATTCTCTCCCCCCATCGCTCATTCACTCATTTACTCCCTCCCTCCCTCATTCACTCTCTCTCCCTCATTCACTCTCCCTCCCTCATTCACTCCTTCCCTCATTCACTCCCTTCCTCCTCATTTTCTCCCTCACTCATTCACTCTGTTGCTCCCTCGTTCACTCCCTCCCTTACTCCCTAATTCACTTCCTCACTTCCTCCCAGAGATATTCACATATCCATCCTGCTATCCCAGGCAGTGGACTCTGCTGGGAATACAAAAAATATCCCTAAACTGAGGTTGCTTGCAGCCAAGTAGTGGGAGGTGGATGCCAACCAAATCATGCAGTAGAGTGATGGTGGTTCTGTAGTAATGGAGGTACAGGTTAGATGGGAGTAAAGAATAGGTGGTCAGTTAGGTTAGGTCAGACAAAACCAGCATCTTTCAGCAGTGACGGCTACACAGTTGTGCTAGGCCTTATGCAAATACATGAGCCAGTTGAATGGTTAGGTATTCTGGGGACTAGGGGTGGCCTTGGCAATTTCTAGGTGCAAATGTCCTTTTCCATTACGAGGCCTCTTTATCAGAATGCCTTTTTAAAATTATTCATTAAGGTTATTTTTACACTAGAATAATGAAGGACACCCTGATATTTTTTGAGTTTCAGTAACTTGTCATGTTTTAGAGAATTCAGATAATCTAAATTTTAGTTCCTTTTTATAGTTCTCTAAACTGGTTTTAAAAGACCTCCAACAAAACCAATTCATCAATTTGTTTTGTGGCTCAGATGGCCTGGCACTAAACTGCTTTTGTTAATCACAAATTCCTTAGTTGTAAGTTGAAGACATAGTCTTGTTTCTTGTTAAGGGGCTAGAGAGCCTTTGCTATAGTCCCCATTGTTGCTATAGTAGTGGCCTGTAGTGTATCCATAGGTGGTCTCATGTTTAGCATCTTTCAGTGTGCTCTTTTTCAGGCAGAGCAAACTTGTCCTTTTTCTATCTCCTATTACACTGGGTGGATTTCTGCATCTTATGCCACAAATCCGCATCCTTTAAGCTTGGGTGCCTCAAGCTGCACACAGTTTGCCCCAGTCTCATTATTCTTGGCCTTGCCTTTCACATGCATACTTTACCAGGCTTTTTATTGTCCTTAATCCCTTCTCTCTCTCCTTGCTTGCCATAACACTTTTTAAAAACTATGCTTTTTGAGATAATGGTAGTTTCACATGCAGTTTTAAGAATTAATACAGAGAGATACCCTGTACCCTTTACCCAGTGTCTCCCCTTGCAAAATTATTTACAATATCACAATCAGAATATTGATATGAAGATACAGAACAGTTGCCCTGATGTTTTGATGTCTAGGTTCCTTCTCATTATCCTTTTCCTTACTTATCTTTTAGACTGTTCTGTCCTTGCCCCTCTCATATATTCATTGACCTAGGGATTTAGCCGAGTCAAGGGTTCTATATGTCTTACCTTCTCTTTGATAGGTTGGCTAAATTTTCATGTTGTCAGAGTTTCTAGTTATAGCAACTTATATTTTTCTTCAAATGACTTGTCTAGAATAAATATTATTTTGATGGCTCAAGGTGGACTTAAAGTTCAAGCGAGGGCCTGGTCTGCTGTGAGCTCTACTTGCCTTAATTTCAGGCACTTCACAAGAGGGTGCAGAGTGTATGGGGCTGTTATGGAACTAATCCTTTGGGACTTAAGAGCCCTAATCAAAGGCATCCCCTTCTCCCCACCCAAAGGGCAGTTCTGCACAGAGGATGTGGACGAGTGTCTACTGCAACCCAATGCCTGTCAGAATGGGGGCACCTGTACCAACCGCAATGGGGGCTACGGCTGTGTGTGTGTCAATGGCTGGAGTGGAGACGACTGCAGTGAGAACATTGATGACTGTGCCTTCGCCTCCTGCACTCCAGGGTCCACCTGCATTGACCGTGTGGCCTCCTTCTCTTGCATGTGTCCAGAGGGAAAAGCAGGTAAGGCCCACAGGAAAACAGAGCTGGAAAATGGGGAAGGGGCAGGTAAGCATTCAGGCCACTGTCTTCTTCTCTTTCATCTTGATAGCTGTGTTGTTTGAGTTACCATCTGAAGGAACATATCTCTCAGGACTATTCTTCTGGAAATGTAACCTGCTAGCCAAAGTGCTATGAAGTGAATCTTCCTAGGACTTTCAGCTCTCATCTCAACTCTATGTACTTGAGTTTTTCATTCCAAAAAAGGAAAGGTAGTAACTACTGTCTTTGAAGCATCTGCCAAACTCCTTAAGATCTGAAACTGAAAATCATCTCAGAAATTAAGACAAAATGACTAATAAATGGATTCACAGACATCATTTTAAGATGAAATAATCCATTTACTTAGAAGGAGATGGCAGGAGAGAAGCATTTAAGTGCATTTCAACCCTCAATGTTTATGAAAATATTCCTCTAAAGAGGATTTTTAGACTACAAAGCTAACTTTAGTCTCTCAGTTTAACAGCTTCCAGTTCTAGGTATAAGAGAGCAATGTAGGGAGGAATGTGATGGAAGAAGATAGTTTAGCTGAGAAAACTTTCTGCCTAGCAGTTTTGAAATATTCTTTAGCTGTGCATTTCCAAAAGTCCCCTCTCCAGCTTTGTGGAAGAAGCCTTAGTTACCTGTCCTTAAATTAATTGCAGAATGGAAAATCCAGTTCTCATGTGAACTGCACAAAACAAGAAGGCTAGTAATACCCTCAGAGACGTGGGGGCACCTGAGCCAGGAATGTAGCTGCTGTTAAAAGGCAGCTGTAGTAGAGACTGAGGATGTTCAGTTGTTTTTTTCTTCTGAGGCTAATGAAATGCTGGTGGCCCTGTGATCATCAGGTAGCATTATTTTAGATAACTAGGGTGCCAGATAAAATACAGGATGCGCAGAATGTTTCAGACATACTTATGCTATAAAGGTATTTCACCGCGCTCAACCAGTGAGCGGACTGTTCTCTGTATGGGATCCGAACCCTTGGCGGGAGCGCTGCCGTGCTCCTAAGCGCCGCACTCTACCGAGTGCGCCGCGGGGCCGGCCCTACATCTTTCTTTTACACTCTTGTACAACTCAGTAGCTTCTGTTCTATTCAGAATTGTGTCATCATCACCAGAATCAATTCCAGAACACTTTCATCACCTCAAAAGGAAACCCCACATGCTTTAGCAATCACCCTAAATCACTTCTCATCCCGCTAGTTCTAAGCAACAACCAGTCTACTTTATATATATAGTCATGTGCTACATAACGACGTTTCAATCAACGAAAGGCCGCACATGTGATGGTGGTCCCATAAAATTTTAAGATTATTATAACATATAGTGTAGGTGTGTAGTTATATCATTTAGGTTTGTGTATGTATAGGCTATGATAGTTGCAGACCAACGAAATCATCTAATGAAGCTCTTCTGAGAACATATCTCTGTTGTTAAGCCATGCATGATGGTATTTGCCTATTATTTAAGCTTTCATATAAATGGAATAATATATGGTCTTTTATGACTGACTTTTGCACATAACATGTTTTCAATGTTCATCCACGTTGTAGCATGTATCAGTATTTCATTCCTTTTTATGGCTGAATAATGATCCTTTGTGTGGATATGCCACATTTTGTTTATCCGTTTATCAGATGATGGACATTTGCGTTGTTTCCACCTTTTGGCTATTATGAATAATGTTTCTGTGAACATTTGATAACAACTTTTTCTGTGGACCTATGTTTTTATTTCTCCAGTGTACATATCTAGAAGTCTAATTACTAGGTCAAATGGTAACTCAGTTTAACTTCTAACTGCCAGACTTTCCAAAGTGCTGCACCATTTTGTATTCCCGTCAACAATGTATGAGTGTTGCAGTTTCTCCATATCCTCACCAGCACTTATTATCTTGACTTTTTTTTATTGTAGCCATCCTAGTGGATGTAAAATTGTATCTTACTGTGGTTTTGATTCGCATTTCCCTGATGAATAATGTTTTTTTTTTTTTTCCTTTTTGTCTCTTTTTTTGTGACCGGCAACGGAT